TGAATAAATAAATAAACATAATTACCCTTCCCCCGCAAAAAAAAAAATTTTTAAGACTAACAGGGAGGTGAGTAGAGCTCAGTGGTAGAGCACGTGCTCAGCATGCATGAGGTCCTGGGTTCAATCCCCGGTACCTCCATTTAAAAAAAAAGAAAAGACAAACATTTTAAAAAGAGATGGGTTGTCCTCGGGTGTCTCTGAAATGCACATAAGCACATAGTAGGCATTCAGAAGATGTCAGCTGTGGTGGCGGGGGTGTTGCATACACATGGCAGCCCCAATAGGATTTCTTATTCTAAGAAAAACTCACACCTGAACTTCCACGTGTTGGGAAATATCAAGGTGTGATAGCATAATGGTGAAGACAGCGAGTTCTGGAGCCAGGCACCCCAGACACCAATCCTGACTCCCTGTTCCAGCTGTAGGACTCTGTGTCTATGGTAACTTTGTGTCTCTTGGCCTCAGTTTCCTTGTGTGGAAAATGGGCATAATAATATTGCCAGCCCCCTAGGGGTTTTGCCTATAAAGCAAAAGCTAATGCCTATAAAGCACTTAGGTGCCTGGAATGTAGTCATCTCCCAATAAATATTTGCTATTATCTTTGCCAGTCTGCATTCCTTAAAACCACTATGGGAGGCCAGACTGATTTTTTTCCCCATTTAACAAATAGGGACTGTCTGGCTCAGAGAAGTTAAGATATGTCCCCAAAGCCACACAGCAAGCTGGGATTTGAACCCTGACCTGACTAACTGTGACACGCAATCTCTTCTCTCCTTGACCATCTCTGAGTCTTTTGGGTAAACTTGGCCCTACCTTGGCTGGTGTATCTGCTTATACAGAGGCAGTGGGGGCTAGCAATCAAGAGAATAAAAAGAATAAAATCTGAAGACAGACTGCCAGCTCAAATCCCCCATCTGTCATTGACTACCTGTGCAGCCTCATGCAAGTCACTCAACATCTCTGTTTCCTCATCTTTAAAATGGTTATCTAGAAAGGCCCCCCTTGCAGAGTCGTGGAGTTTATACTAAGTAATCATATACAGTGCTTAGGACAGCGTGTGGCAAATCCTCCAGGTTAGCTCTTTGGGGACAGCAGTGGGAGGATAAACTCTGACCCCACCCTGACCCCTGACCTTTGTCCTCACTCTCTCCAGACATCTCCGTGAGCCTGCTGTCGGTCATCGTGACGTTCTGTGGCATTGTCCTTCTGGGTGTCTCTCTCTTCGTGTCCTGGAAGCTATGCTGGGTGCCCTGGCGGGACAAGGGAGGCTCGGCGGTGGGCGGTGGCCCCTTGCGCAAGGACCTAGGCCCTGGGGTCGGGCTGGCAGGCCTGGTAGGCGGTGGTGGACACCACCTAGGGGCTGGTCTGGGTGGCCATCCCCTGCTGGGGGGCCCCCACCACCATGCCCACACGGCCCACCATCCGCCCTTCGCTGAGCTGCTGGAACCAGGCAGCCTGGGGGGCTCAGACACCCCTGAGCCCTCCTACTTGGACATGGACTCGTATCCAGAGGCTGCAGCCGCCGCCGTAGCCGCTGGGGTCAAACCAAGCCAGACATCTCCTGAGCTGCCCTCTGAGGGCGGGGCAGGCTCTGGGCTGCTCCTGCTGCCCCCCAGTGGGGGGGCTTGCCCAGTGCCCAGTCGCATCAGCAGGTCACAAGCCTGGCACCCGCCACCAGGTGAGACAGGCTACTGGGCTGGGGATCCACTTGGAACTTCTGTTCCTATTCTGTGTCCTTTCCCATCTAGGACTCTCCTGAGTCCTAGGGAGGCACGGCCTGGAGGTCCAGAGCCTTGAGTCCCAGGGAAGAAGGAAGCTTGGGGTGTGGACTCCTGAATCCTGGGGAAAGAGGAGACTGGGGCCCCGGGCTCCTGGGTTTGAGGAAGGAGGGGTCTAGAAGTCCAGGCTCTTGGATCCAGAGGAAGGAAAAGAGGGACAAGATCTCGGGATCAGGAAGGTGAACGAGAATGGCAATTAGACCCCAAGTCCCTGAGGCACAAAGCAATTCATCTCTTTCACCCAAAGCCAGGATTAGCGGTGGGACCTGCAGGTCATTCATCCATTATTTCTCATTCTGCACATGTCTGTTGAGCACCTAAGATGAGCTAGACCTAAGCTGGGTGTTGGGAAAATAGAAGTGAGCATGGCAGACAGACCCTGCTCTCATGTCACTCACAATCCAGGGGAAGTGGGTCCCCAAATGGGCTGTCCTGGACCAGCCAGGCAGGTCTGCAGTAAAGTAGAATAAGGGAGATGGGGGGGCAGACCATGCAGGGTCTTGAATGCCAGACTGAGAGGTTGGGACTTGGTCTTAGGGCACTAGGGAGCCACAGAGGGCTGTGAGCAGAGGACAGCTCTGGGTGTAGAAAGACTCTGGGGTCACACAGGGGACAGACTGGAAGCCAAGAGTCTAGGCAGGAGAGGACAAGGCTAAGCCGAGGTTATTGGATGGTGGAGGAGGAAACAAGGAGGAGAGTCAGGGGCAGAACTAGGGACTGACAGCTATGGGTAGGAGGGCGCAGGAGGAGGCAAGGACGGCACCCAGGGATCTAGTCTGGTGATTGGCTGAATGGTGGGGCTGTCAGAGGATGTAGGAAGGGGAGTGAGTTTGAGGGAGACCCTGAGCTTACCTGGGTCTTGTTGATTTCAGGGCCCCCGGAGGAGCATCTGGGGAAAACTGCCTCCCAGAAGGATTGTCTTGGGCCCCAGAGGTTCATAGGTGGTTCTTGTCCAGGGGCCTGGCCAGGGCCTCATAGAAAATATAGTTTGAGGTCTCTGGGGAAGCCTTCCAGAGGTTGGCGGATACACTGTTTCGAATTCCTCCTTCCCGCATTATACAGATGAAGAAAGTGAGGCTCAGAGGCTGTTAATGACCTGCTTAAAGTCACCCTGGAAGCATCCAGTGGCCCAGTGATCTTTAGCTGAAGGAGTCTCACCCCTGCATCCCTTTCCATGGCTCGGTGCCCTCCCACTTCCCGCAGCCCCATGCCTGCCTCTCAGCACAGCTGGGGCTGCCATGGCCAGTCGTGGCTGCCGAGTACTGCCCCTAGCTAGGGGCCAGGGTGTGCTGGTCCATGCAGGAGAAGATGGATGAGCAGGGAACCATGGTGATGGGGAAATTTGGGAAACAGGAGGAAAAGGAATTGAGGGAGAGAGGGGTTGAGGATGGCTCCCAGTGTGTGACTTGCAGAAGATCTAGGTGGATCCTGGGGAATTGGGAGAAAGAGTGGGTTTGGGAGAAGGTACTGAGTCCAGTGGGGAACATGATGGGTATGTGGTGTCTGATGGACAGACGAGGCCAGGGGCTGAACCAGGCTGGAACTCAGGAGACAGATTTAGCTCAACAGACACCAGGCTGTTGATGGTCATGGAAACCTGTGGCACAGCTTGTCCAGCCAGGAAAGGCGTGTGGGTTACGAGGGGAGGAGACAGTAAAAATGATTTAAGAATGGAGCTTTGGGCTTCCAGAATGTTCTACAAACACAGCCAGCCCAAAAAGGAAGCTGAGAGAGAAAGAACAGGCCAGGTGGAGTGATGGTCAGATGGGAGAGGATGAGGCTGGAGCCAAGACAGGTTGGGGAGATTTGGAGAAGGGCAGATGGGAGGTCAAGGGGTCTGGATCCACAGAGAGTTTATTCTAGGTCACCTCTTGAAGTCAGGGGACTTCTAGAGGCTGGTGGGTGTGCGGGTCTGGGCTAGAGCTAGCTTAGAGAAGGGGACAACCATCCCCTCATACAGATGGGGAAACCGAGGCTCCGAGAGCACAAGGCTCACCCTTGCTCAAGGTCACAGTGCACAAAGATGGGGATCTGTGGCCACCTGGCTGCGGGGTTAGTGAAGAAGAGGAAGAGGGGAATCTCCCAGGTCTTCAGCTGCAGTCAGCGATGGGAGCCACTGACCCCTCCTTGGTCTTCTCCACCCCCCGCAGGTATCCGGCCCTGCCCCGGCCCCTCACCCAGCAGACCCTGACCCCTCAGCCGGACCCGGGCAGTGAGGAGCGGCCGCCTGCCCTACCTTTACCCCTACCAGGCGGTGAGGAAAAAGCCAAGCTCATCGGGCAGATCAAGCCAGAGCTGTACCAGGGGACTGGACCTGGTGGCCGGCGTGGCGGCGGGGCCACGGGCTCCGGAGAGGCCGGCGCGGGAGCACCCGCTGGCCGCATCAGCTTCGCCCTGCGGTACCTCTACGGCTCCGACCAGCTGGTGGTGCGGATCCTGCAGGCCCTGGACCTTCCGGCCAAGGACTCCAACGGCTTCTCAGACCCCTACGTCAAGATCTACTTGCTGCCTGATCGCAAGAAGAAGTTTCAGACCAAGGTCTGGAGTCGCAGGCTGGACATCAGGGTCTCAGGGAGGAGGGGACGGGGGTGGGGGGGGTACAGACTCCTGAATCTGAGGGAGGAGGGGACGGGGGGTCTGGACCCCTGGGTCTGAGGGCATTGGGGCTGGGGGTCTGGACCCCTGGGTCTGAGGGAGGAGGGCCTAGTGCGCATGCTGTCTGTCTCCCTCCCTTGCCCACCCCCGCCAGGTGCACAGGAAAACCCTGAACCCCGTGTTCAATGAGACATTTCAGTTCTCGGTGCCCCTCGCGGAGCTGGCCCAGCGCAAACTGCACTTCAGCGTCTACGACTTTGACCGCTTCTCGCGGCACGACCTCATCGGCCAGGTGGTGCTGGACAACCTCCTGGAGCTGGCCGAGCAGCCGCCCGACCGCCCTCTGTGGAGGGACATCGTGGAAGGCGGCTCGGTCAGTGGCTCCTGAATCCCGCCTCCCCGGGACCGGGGACCCCTGGGTTTGCTTGCCGTCCATTTCACCACCTTATAACTCCTTGATCCTGGAATTCTCTTTTCCATTTTATTTTATTGCAAACTATTGCAACTGTGCAAGCAAGAATAGAGAATTATATATTAGACCCCACACTCCCCCTGTGCACTTTGTCAAGTGTTAGCATGGTGTCTGGGGCCCAGATTCCCCAACTTCTGACCCTCAACCTTGACATCCGATGGTCACCATTGAGAAAACTGTAATAGACACCCACGTACCCACCAGCAAGCTTTAGCGAAACTCAGCACTGTGACCCCATGATTTCTACTCTCTGACCCCAGATTTCTGACCCTCCAATTTCCTGACCCCAGAGTTTCTGGCTTTTGTTTTTCCAACTTCCTTTCCATTCCAACCTCCAGACATTCCAATTCCCGGACTTCCTGAATCCCCGACCCCTCTGATTCCTGAACATTTGGTTTCAAACCCTTGACCTTCAAACTCTGTAATTTAATCGAATCCTTCGTTTCTTCATGGTCTCCACCAGAATCCTGACAGCCTGATTCCCCAAGCCTCTCAGATATCCTGGACTCCCCAGTATCCTGACATCTCCCCAATTCTCCCAGAACCCAGATTGGAGGGCGCAACCCCCCCCAATACCTCCCCACTGGCCGCCTTCCTCGCTTCCTGCAACCTCATTCTCCTGGACAGCCAGTCCCTCCCAGAGCCCAGCTCCTTGGTCTTTCTTTTATTATTTTTTTAATCAATTATTTGTGTGTGGGGGGAGATACTTAGGTTTGTTTGTTTGTTTGTTTGTTTGTTTGTTTGTTTTAATGGCGGTACTGGGGATTGAACCCAGGACCTCGTGCATGCTAAGCACACACTCTACCCCTGAGCTCTACCCTCCCCACTCCAGCTCCTAGGTCTTTGTTGGGTGTCCTGACCCCTTCCACCCACCCAAACTTCAGACCCCCAACTCCTTGACCTCCTCAATTCCAATCTGTGGGTTTTCCAACAGTCCAGCTCTCTGTAGTCCGGGGTAGGTGTGTGTGTGTGTGTGTGTGTGTGTGTGTGTGTGTGTGTTGGGAGGAGGGGCTGAACGCTGTCCTTATGTCAGGAGAGGGCTGATTTTGCCCACCTGGTGGCCCTGCTCACGGCCCTTTCTGTTTTTGAGCCTCAGTTTCTCCTGATGTACAACAACCTAATTGACCAGGTGAATATGGCTTTTCTTAAAATCCCCTTCAATCGCTTCTCGGCCTTTTGGCTAAGATGAAGTGTGGTGTCTGAAGTCCACTTCACGGGGCTCTCCACAGCCCGCTTGCTTAGTCCTCAAGCCCAGCCTCTGAGAACTCTGTGCCTCATCGTAGGTTCCTGGTCCCCAGGGCCCCCCTCTGTCCCACCAACCCCCTCCCCACCCGAGGGTCCTCTCCTGCATCCTTATTTTTCTCCTTGTGTCACCGCTCATTTTCTCTCCTCATGATTGCTCCAGGTATCGCTCATTCTTTCATTTATTCCTTCATCCCCTCAACAGCTGGTTTCTTCAAGATCCAGACCCCAGGGACTCCAGACAGTCCTGAGAGCCACAGGTCTAGGTGGCCACACAGTTTGCTGTCAGGGGCCAGTGTTAGGGGACACCCAGGAGGAGTGTCTGCTCAGGGCTTCAGGGAATCTGGGAGCTTGTGGGAAGAGGTGACAGTTAAGCTGAGGCTTGCCAGCTGGAAGAGTATTCTAAGTAGAGGGAACAGAACTTGAGGGAAGTGAGTGGAGTGTCTAGGGACCTGGGGCCCCATCAGCATGGTTGGGAAGTGAGGGGCTGAGATGAGGCTGAAGGACCAGATGGACAGACAGGTTGTATGTCCTGGCTGGCCCTGGCCACTGCCCCAAGTCTATCTGTGTGTGTCAGTGTGGACGGTCTGCCTCCCTTGTAGCTTCCTTCTGGTTCTTGGCTGTCTCCTGCCCTAAGACTGACCTCTGCCCTACTCTATCTAGACCTCTGTCCCTCTCTGTGTGTCAGTCTCTCTCTGTTTCTCTCTCTCATTCTGGGTCTTTATCACTCTCTCTGGGTCTCCATGTCCCCCACCAACTCTCTGCCCCAACTCTCTGCATCTCTGGTCCTGCCCCCTGGATTCTGTTCCCTCCCAAGCTTCTGTCCTCCCTCTGGTCTATGCTTCTTCTCCCCCATCCCCTGCTCAAAGTCTCTGTACTGCCAGGTCTGGAGTCTTTGTTCCCTCTCCTTTATTCTGGGCTTCTGTCCTGCTGTCTAGGTCTTCCTGACTTTAGAACTCTGTGGGTCTGTCTTTCTAACTGTATCTCTCAGGGTTTGCATCTCTGTCTCAGTCTATTTCTCACGGTGTCCTTCTCTCTGTGTGTGTGTCCCTCCCCTGCTCCCCCCGCCCATGCCTCTTCCAATCTTCCCTGCAGAACAAATAGGCTTTGACGGTGGCGGGCAGCTGTGGCCGGGGAGTTACCGGGTTTGGCCCGGAGTCAGATTGTTAAGTGGATCGGAAACCTGAGCCCTGGATATCTGGGAGGAGAGCTGGAGGCTGGAGACGGGAGGGAAGTCAGGGGGAGATGGGCGGAGGCTGAGGAAGGGCATCATAGACCCTCTTGCCCCAACTGCAGGAAAAAGCAGATCTTGGGGAGCTCAACTTCTCACTCTGCTACCTCCCCACGGCCGGGCGCCTCACCGTGACCATCATCAAAGCCTCTAACCTCAAAGCGATGGACCTCACTGGCTTCTCAGGTGGGTGGCAGGAAGGCACTGGCATCTGAGGGAGGAGGCGACAGCACTCCTGGGTCTGAGGGAGGAAGAGGCTGGGGGAGAAAAGGGTGGGGACCCAGACCCTTGGGTCTGGGAGAAGAGGGGTCTGAGGTCCGGAGGCAGATCTGAGGGAGGACGTCGCGGTTCAGTGCTCTCCACGCCCGCCCCCAGACCCCTACGTGAAGGCCTCTCTGATCAGCGAGGGGCGGCGTCTGAAGAAGCGGAAAACCTCCATCAAGAAGAACACACTGAACCCCACGTACAACGAGGCGCTGGTGTTCGACGTGGCCCCCGAGAGCGTGGAGAACGTGGGGCTCAGCATCGCGGTGGTGGACTATGACTGGTGAGGGGGCGTGGC